TTGATCTAATCAAAATCGATAAATAAAAATTCCACTTTTAATTTATCACCAATTCACATTCGTTGTCCCAAATTAACATCTAACAATGTGTTAGAGCATTACATATAACTAAAAATGTAACGTGGTGTAACAAAATCAAACTTGTTCGACGGATCTGATTTGTTACCACCTGAAATCTAGGGCACTACTTTAAATTTTTACAAGTTTTGGACTGATAGGTGGCAAACTTTGTCTCCACTTGTAATGCAATGGATTTGACGACGACATTGGTGAGCCAAAATTCTAGGGCTTTTGGGGTCGCCCTGGAATGCCAAGAAGTACTGAAGGATTTTCAGACGCGCAATTGGAAGTTGGTTGAAAAGTTAGCCTCAGTAGAGGAAGTGATGAAAATAATAAAAGATGTGGTTGAAGCGTTGAAGGCCTAGCGAACTGAAGAAGTAGTTAAGTTGCATTTTTCCTTAGCGGAGATCGAAGCTCTGAAGAGGAAAGTCCATGAATCCCAATGCGAAGTGGCTTCCTTAACAAAGAAGGTTGAAATTTCAAACAATCATTAGAAGCTAACGATTGGGCTCAAGGACACAAGTGTATTTTTGGAGACCGAAATAAGGCACTATGTTTAGGAAATAGGGATGGCAACGGTTCGGTTCGGGGTCGGTTCGACCAAAACCACAACCGCACCACCAAATTTTTAGCCTTACCATAACCGCATCATAACCACGTAAGTCGGTTCGGTTCGGTTAATAACCACGAAAATAAATTAATTTTTATAAGTACAAACTCCATCCGTCAAATAGAAAATAATTATGAAGAAAAGTCTATAAAAACAAAAATACAATACTAAGTCAAATTTACAAACAATATCCCAAATGAAAATGCAAATAATATCCCAACTTCCAAATGTAAAATTCGAATTTAACAAACAATATTATCAACATAGGATAATTTTGGGAAAGCTCAATTGTCAAAATTGCCCAATTAATTTTGGGAAAGAATAATGGAAAGCCTAATTGTCTAATTAAATTT